TTCTCCTCAGGGATGCTCTCCATCCATTCTCCGCCCAGCCTGTCCTTGTGCTTGGGATTGCCCCGACCCACGTGCAGGACCTTGCCCTTGGCCTTGTTGAACTTCATGAGGTTCTCACAGGCCCACCTCTCCAGCCTGTCCAGGTCCCTCTGGATGCCATCCCTTCCCTCCAGCGTGTCCACCACACCACACGGTGTTGTCAGCAAACTTGCTGAGGGTGCACTCGATCCCACTGTCCATGTCACCAACAAAGATGTTAAATAGCACTGGCCCCAGTACTGACCCCTAAGGAAGACCACTCAGTTGCACCCTTCATACAAGGTGGGTCCCTCCTTGATGAAGTCGGGTCTCCAGCTTGCAGAAATCTCACCTTCCAAAGGGAAGAGCCTGCCTCCTGCCTGGGCACACATACAGAATAACTTATTGCCTGACTTGGTGATGGTGAAAACACAAATATTTTCTCCAGGTGATTCTTTGTTTCCTTCTTCCTTAACATTTTATTCCGACATAATGAAAGCATCAAACCTCAGCTGATTTAGACATATTGATATTCCAGTGAAGTTTGTATTTTAAATATGTGGCCATTCCTGCGTGAGAAGCAGAAAAAAGTTATACAGCTGTCTGGTATTTGATTCTTTTTTCATCTAGATAGGAAGCTGTTAACCCTGGTCTACCAGTATAATTAAGTGTTCAAGGCCAGGTTGGATGAGGCTTTGGGCAACCTGGTGTAGTGCAAGGTGTCCCTGCCCATGGCAGGGGGGTTGGAACTGGATGATCTTTGAGGTCCCTTCCAACCCAAACCATTCTATGATTCTATGATTTAGGTAAAAATACACATGTGCTTGTAAATAGCACCACACATCTCCCAAGTGCAGGCCTGACCGAACGCTGTAAGTACTTTTGTAGCTCATCAGCAGTGGAATGAAACTCCAAACATTTGTGGTTTGGAACAAACGTTTGTTGAATATTAAGACTACGATGTGTAAACAGAGTGGGGTAACTCGATGGGGTTCGTTGGGTACCTCAAGTTAAAAACTCTTGTCTGACCCTTAGCAAGCACGGTCAAGGATCTTGGAGCAGCTTGTTTGTTTGAGCTGACAAGTTTGTGCAAACGGCATGGTCTGCAGCAGGCCGGGTACTAACGTGAGCTCCGAATGTTTCGAGCGTGCCCAGAGTCGTGTTGGGTGCTGTTGCGTAACTCAGGCTGATTGGAAATTGCAAAATGAGGTGAAACAGCAAAACAACTCGGCCCGTCATTTCCTGGGTAGCTTCTGTTGAAGGCATACGGAAAGCCCTCGTGATATAATGTCGGGATATAAAGACAAATTAGGGGATAGCTACTTTACTCCACAAGTAAACTGAAGGAGAATAGATTTGGATTAGATCTAAGGAAGAAATTCTTCCCTCTGAGGGTGGTGAGGCACTGGCACAGGTTGCCCAGAGAAGTTGTGGCTGCCCCATCCCTGGAAGTGTCCAAGGCCAGGTTGGATGAGGCTTTGGGCAACCTGGTGTAGTGGAAGGTGTCCCTGCCCATGGCAGGGGGGTTGGAACTAGATCATCTTTGAGGTCCCTTCCAACCCAAACCATTCTGTGATTCTCACACTACACATCTGATCTGCATGTTCACGTGTGTCTGCCAAGGTTGGAGCTGACCTTGCTCCGACATCAGGTGATGGATCAGTGCTTATCTTCAGTGGGTGCTGTAGAGCCATCATCTCCCCTCCTTTCAAACCAGATGTGGTTAGAAGGTGTTTTTGTTCAAAATCTTGAATATTTACTAACAGTGTTGGTATTTCTGCTGACTTGCAGAAAACGGCATCCCTGGATTCAGCTGTTTTGGCACAACCCTTCTGGCTTTAAAAGTGTGTTCTCTGTTTCGCTCGATGCAGTGAGAAATCCACTTCTCGATTTGTTAAGAGCTCCTAAACCAAATTTTGCCAAGGAAAAGGTTAATGATTCATTAAAATGATTGTTGTTTCCATGTTCTTACAGCTTTAAAACATACAGACTAATATAAGTAGGGGCAAAAGGAAGAAATAACTGAAGTAATAACTGGATGCTCCATCCCTGGAGACGTTCAAGGCCAGGTTGGACGAGGCCCTGAGCAACCTGATCTAGTTGGAGATATCCCTGTTCCTTGCAGGGGGGTTGGACTAGATGACCTTTGAAGGTCCCTTCCAGCCCTAACCATTCTATGATTCTAAGTAGGAGGCATTGCCTTTCCAAGACCAATGAAGGGATGAAATGCCTGCTCGGTTCCGCCCTGGAACTCAAAACTCTGACACTGTCTAAACACTTCTGACTTCAGACCTTCTCATAGGTGTCGCTTCTGTAAATATTTACAAATTTCAGGCTGGGGCTTGGGCCGTACTGACTCGAAAGGCTTTCAGGAGGTACTTGATGCCACAATTGAATTGAGAAGATCTACCTTTCCAACGTAAATGCTGATACGTGGATCAATCTTTGGACTTTTTATTCTTTTTAAATCAGTATTTTGTGAATCTTGACTGAAGTAGTGAGATGCCTAATTGATACATTTCACTTTTTTTCCTCATTTTCTCGGCTGTATGAAGAGCATTTACGGGGCATGTTAATCATTCACCTGAAGACCGCTTGCACAACGAAGTGGAAACTTCACTTGGCCAAGTGGCTTTGGCTTTTCCCATGGGAAATACTTCTCAAACTTGACTGATCCTTCACTCTCCATACCTAATTATGTGGGAGAGCGTGTGCATGTAACTGTATCCATATGAAGATACATTTCCCATCATAAATTTTACTCGAGTAACATCTGCTTTTTAAAAATCACGTTTCTTCCGAACAGAATTAAAAATAATGTCTCTCAAAAGTAGTTTCGCTGTTTGAAACAGGTTCAAAGTTACCTTTGCGAATAGTTTTCAGGTTTAAAGTTCCCTTTGCCAATAGTTTAATTGGCAAATTAATTTAATTAATCCAATTTAAAATGGATCCATGTTTGAGGGTTCAACTGAATGAAAGTTTCGTCATTTAATCTCTGACTTAACTTCTTAATAGAAAAATCATAAAGTGCAGCAACATGTCAAAACCAGGAAAAATACCGTTATCATTTGAGCTCAACGCAAAATTTTGTATATAGTAAGGATGTGTGTAAGAGAGATGAAAGCCTGTGTCACACCAATTGACATTTTAATTCACTGTCCATATATTCTTGCATAGTCTACTGTGCTTTAGCCACTACAGCAAAAGTAATTTCCTTCAAATTTTTTGCTTAGACCCATCTGGTTTTGCTGGTTTTGCTTGATTTCCCAGTGCCGCTGACAAGTCGCTGTGTCAATGCAGGCAGTGATGTTGAAGTAGGGTGCTGCTGATCTCGGTGGAAGGGGCTGGAAGGGCAAGAAAGGAGACAAAACTCTGCTGCTTGCACAGTAACTTGCTAAGAATGAACAATGCTGAGAAAGGAAACGCAGGAAAAACGCCAGGGTGGCTCAGTGGGTTTCTGTTAGTGCCTCCATCAGTGACTCACCTTTGGAAAATCACTTGATTTTTTGATCCTCTGATGAGCAAGTGCAACAGGATGATGATGGTAGGGCTGCACTGGATATAAATATCCTCAATTTTATTCCTAGGTTTGCCCCTTGCTACTTGATGCAATCTTTGAAGTTCTCCTTTTCTTGAAATTTTGCTTTCCTTGAAATTTTGCTTTTCTTGAAATCCTGCTTTTCTTCATGCTACTCTTTCCATTCCTTCTGTTCAGATTGTTAAATAATTTGGATCAGGGTGGTGGTTTGCCATGAGTTCGTTAAAGCCTTGGCTCTGTCGGCCGGAAAGCGTGCCAGGATGCTGAAGTGAACCCAGCTGTCAGAAAACCTAAATTTTCGTTCTGTTCTAAATACAAAAATCATGAAGCTTTTTGTTGAAGTCTGATATTTATTTCATTTTGGAATTATTAAGATCTTCTGTTTCCATAACAAATAAGCTTCCTGTGATCTCCGGCGAGTGCTGGTGGAAAATAGCCTCGTTTGGGGGGCTGGTGGGTCTGTGTGTGTGTGCATCACATCGGATTTATTTGTGCATCACATCGGATTTATCTGTGTGTCATAGAATCACAGAATGGTTTGGGTTGGAAGGGACCTCAAAGATCACCCAGTTCCAACCCCCCTGCCATGGGCAGGGACACCTTCCACTACACCAGGTTGCCCAAAGCCTCATCCAACCTGGCCTTGAACACTTCCAGGGATGGGGCACCCACAGCTTCTCTGGGCAACCTGTGCCAGTGCCTCAGCACCCTCTGAGTGAAAAATTTCTTGCTTATATCCAGTCCAAATCTGCCCTCTTCCAGTTTAAAGCCATTGCCCCTTGTTCTATCACTACACACATCGGATTTATGACATCGGATTTATTCGTGCATCACATCCAGCTCAGTCACCAGCCCAAAGCGCATCCAAGGTCTGCAGCCAGGAGTGTTCCTAATTTTAAAAATACTGTGGAGCACTGGGTTTTGTCTGGATTTTTGAAAATAATCTAAACTACCCGACCACCAGAATACATGACTAGAAAGCATAAACTAATAGATGTTGCTTTGAAAACATGGAGTTGTGAAATGCATCTCTAGGAACCCATTCCCTGTCTCTTGGCTCACGCCGCGTTCCTGCAGGCAAGGAAACGAAGAACCGGACTCGTTTCCGCACCGAGCGGCTTTTGGAGCCACCTGAGTAATTTGTGGATCAGGAATTAACACGTTTGGGCCGTGGCAAGGAGCGAAATGTAATCTTGAAAGAATTCTGACGTGTTTCTTCCCTCAGATAATCAAGCTGAAGGCGGAAGCCCGTCTGGACCTGCTGAAGCAGATCGGCGTGTCCGTGGATACGTGGCTCAAAAGCGCGATGAACCAAGTGATGGAAGAACTGGAGAACGAGCGCTGGGCCAGTCTGCCTTCGGTGGCCAACAACGGCTCCTCACACCTGGTAGGGTTTCAGACACGTAAACCTCACCTCATCTCCACGTGGCTCTTTCCTAGTAGCAACTCTGAACTTCATATCGAATATAAAACAAAATAACACATGATAATATTTGATTTTTTGGTTAATATTATATTATATGGTATGATATATAGATAATATTTGGCTAGTGAATTTCCAGTTCACTAACTGGAAAAATCTTGTAGCTTTCTGTGGCCAAATTTCATGCAAAAAAAGCCAAACAAACAAAAAAAAAGACATTTCTGGGTTCTGTTGCCGAGTTCACTTCAGATTGATTTTTCTGACCTTGGATGAGTGCCATAATATTTCTTTGCCATCTCCTGAAAAGAAAAACGTCTGCGTGTTTCCTTGAAGTTTCATTAATAGTTTACGATGTTATCGGAGATACTTGGATGAAAGGCTTTGTTCTTCCAAATGTTTGGAAAACCGTAAACTCCACATCATCTCTTCGAGTCGTTTATGGCGAGATGGCGGTGAAAGTCATCAGCCTGTTTTCCAAATGGGTTTGGATATTTGAGATGAAAA